TTGTTGTTGTGATTGTTGTTGTTGTTGCTGTTGTTGTTGCTGTTGCTGTTGCTGTTGATGTTGTTGTTGTTGTTGTTGTTGTTGTTGTTGTTGTTGTTGTTGTTGTAGTTGTTGTTTCCGGGGCGCTGCATGTCCGAGGCGCCCCGATCCGCGCCCGCCCCGCAGAGGCACCTCCGGGCAGGTCGCTCCCGCAGGCCGCGGGCCTCCATGCGCTCGCGCCGATGCAGGCGCCGGCCGCCGCCCAATCTCCCGAAGCCGCTCGTTGTTACCCCTCCTCCCTGAAGTCGCCCGTTGCTCCTCCTCCTCCCTCCTCCTCCTCTCTCCTCCTCCTCCTCCATCCTCCTCCCCCCAGACGCTCCAACCTCCTCCTCCTCCTCCTCCTCCTCCTCCTCCTCCTCCTCCTCCCCGATGCTGACTATGATTCGGAGGTCACGCGGAAGACCACTCAGCACCTACTCGTGCTAAGCTTTCACTTCTGCCACAAGCTCACGGCAGAGCACGGGGCCTCGCCCTCCCGCCGTGGCGCTTTCGAGGCCCACCTGAGGCCCTCGCGTGCCACGAAGCCTGCCGTCCGCGCCAGTCGGCAACGTAACTGACCATGCCCTTATGAGTTACGTGCACGTCTCACCCGCCTCCGCGGGGCCGCTCCTCCTCCCCTCCTCCTCCCTCTCCTCCTCCTCCTCCTCCTCCTCCTCCTCCTCCTCCGCCTCCTCCTCCTCGCTCCGGCCTCCTCCTCCTCCTCCTCTCCTCCTCCTCCTCCTCCTCCTCTTCCTCCTCCTCCTCCTCCTCCTCCTCCTCCTCCTCCTCCTCCTCCTCCTCCCTCCTCCTCCTCCTCCGCCCTCCCCGCCGCCTCCGCGGGGCCGCTCCCGAGAGCGGCGCGAGGCCGTGGCGTCGAGCGCGCGGGGCGAGGGCGCTGCGTCGGGCACGCGGGGCAGGGGGTGGAGGGCCCGGCCCCGTGGTGCTTCCTGGGCGGGTCGTGGCCCCGTGGGGCGTTCCCGAGGGGTGCCGCTGCCCCCGCGCGGCTCCCGGTTGCCTTGGGTGCTCCCGGTTGTCGCGCGGGCCCAGGTTGCACCGCGGGTTTGGGTGCTCCCCCCGCCCCTGCCCAGAGCGGGGGCGGCGCGACGCGCCTTCCTCATCCCTCATCCTCCTCCGCCTCCTCCTCCTCTTCCCCCTCCTCTACTACATCCTCCTCCTCCGCCTCCTTCTTCTTCTCCTCCTCCTCCCCCCATCTTCTCCTCCTCCTCCTCCTCCTCCTCCTCCTCCTCCGTCCTCTTCCTGGGCCCTTCTCCTCCTTCTTCTCCTCTTGCTCCTTCCCCTCTCATCCTCCGCCTCTTCCTGTTGGGAGAACACGGTCTGTGCGCTCCTTCTCCTCCTCCTCCTCCTCCTCCCCCCTCTTCCTCCTCCTCCTCCTCCACCTCCTCCTCCTCCCCCTTCCCCCTCCTTCTCCTCCTCTTCGTCCTCCTCCTTCTCCTCCTCCTCCTCCTCCCTCTTCTTCCTCATCCTCTTGCACGCTTGGGGAGGCCGTTCCTTTTCGAAACAGGGTTCTCGCTGGACGCACTGTTGAAACAAGTGATCATGCAGTTTTGCATTCCTGGTAACTCGGTGGAAGGTTCATGCAACTCCTTTTCTAAGCGGGGCTCTCCCCTAGACGGCATGCCCATAGGGTGTCGTCTTCCAAGGGGGTGTGAGGAGGATACTTGGGACAGGAGGGTGTATTGCAGCATCGCCGATGCACCCTGGATGTACCATGGTTCTTCCTTCTCACTCCTCTCTTCTCCTTCCTCCTGGTCCGTCTATTTCTTCCTCCTCGTCCTCCTCCTCGTCCTCCTCCTCCTCCTCCCCCTCCTCCCTCTCCTCCTCCTTGTACTGATCATCACCCTCACCATCCTCACCATCCTCACTACCATCATCATCATCATCATCATCATCATCATCATCATCATCATCATCATCATCATCATCATCATCATCATCATCATCATCATCATCACCGTCAGTATCATCGACATCCTCATCATCAAAATCAGCATCATCATCGTCATCATCATCATCACCAGTATCATCACCATCATCATAATCATGATCAGCATCATCATCGTCGTTGCCACCATCATCACATCTTCGCCACCATCGTCATGATTACCACCATCATCATCTTCATCATCAGCAAAATCAGCATCACCATCACCATCATCATCAACAGTATCACCACCACCATCACCATCATCATCAACATCATCATCATTATCAGCATCATCATCATAATATGCATCATCATCGTCATCAGCACTATCCTCATCATCATCTTTGTATTTCTCGTCTTCGTCGTGCTGCCGCTCCTTTTCTTTCTGTTCCCAATCGATATCATCCTCGGCGACCCTGCGTCCTCGTCCTCGCGGTCGACATTTCCATTTTCATTCAAGAGGCTTACACCGGTCCGCCGACCCCAGAAGACGGATGAAGTCCACGGGTGAGGCTTTTGGTGGCCTGATGGGGACCCCCGGGGGACCTCTTTTGGGCCTCCTGGGGGCCTAAAGCTCGTGTTATGAGAATGAGCATGCGGCTTCTGGGGGCCTCTTTAGCATGAGTGTGTGTGTGTGTGTGCGTGTCTGTCTGTGTGTCTGTCTGTCTGTCTGTCTGTCTGTCTGTCTGTCTGTCTGTCTGTCTGTCTGTCTGTCTGTCTGTCTGTGCGCGCATTGGACAATGATCTCGACCCGACGGCCCCTGCAACTTTGACACTTCCGTGACGGGCCTCGCGGGAGTGTCTTGGGCGCCTGCTGGTGGTCTCGGGGATCATCTTGTGGCGGAAGGCTCAAAATGTTTGCTCGAGTTGCCCCTCTTGGGCCCCTCTTGGGGACCTGTTCGGGCTCTCTTGGGCCATCTTGGGCGCCTCTTGGGCTGTCTTGGGACCCTCTTCGGCCGTCTTGGGGTCCCCCAAGAGGGGCTTCGTGCGCCGTCTTGGAGCGAGCTTTGGGGGCCTTCTCAGCCGTCCTAGATGCAGTTGAGACCAAAAACATATTCGTTTTCCCTTGGGATGGACGATTCTTGCGTCTTGGGGCCCTCTCGGGGGTCGTCCTGGAGCCCTTGTGGGGCGTCTTTGAGGCCTCTCGGGCAGTCTTGAGGCCATTTCGGTTGTCTTTGAGGATTCCTCCGCGTGCTGGACCCCAGCTTGAGCCAGCTTAGATGGCGTCCTGGGCATCCTTGAGGCCACGGAGTGTAGATTTGGGCCCTGGGGTGCGTTGGCGAGCTCCCCCCCCTCGCCATCCCGCCCGGGCCTCCCCCCTCCTAATTGTGTTTCATTTTGATCTCCCGATTAGGCTTGCTCAAGGGGTTCTTACATGGTTAAAGGTTGGCACCTCGGGATGTTATTTTGCCCGTTCCTCGGAGATTCCTCGGGTTCCTCGGGTTGCCCGCCCCTGGTGCCTCCTATCGTTACGCTGCCCGTTTCCCAGAGGTTCCTCCGGTGCCCCTGGTTCCTGCGGTTCCCCGCCCCCAGTGCCTCCTATTGTTACGTTGCCCGTTCCTCAAAGGTTCCCCCGCCCCCGGTGCCTTGTATTCTCAGCAATGCGAAGCAAAAACAAATTATGCTAACGGAGTTCCCCACATAATGATGTTTTTGGGCTAGCGGGATCAAGCAACATTTTGTAGAGAAATTGCCGACCTGCCCTCGCCCTCTCCATCCTTTTCTATCACATGGTTTGCGAATACCCTCCTCGCTCATGCGGGGCTTCCCTGGAGGGGTGGGACGGGCACGGAACCTGATAAATAGCACTGTTCGCGAATACCCTCCTCGCTCAGGCGGGGCCTCCCTGGAGGGGTGGGAGGGGCACGAAACCATGTAAATAACATGGTATGCCGATACCCTCCTCGCTCAGGCGGGCCTCCCTGGAGGGGTGGGAGGGGCACGAAACCTGTAAATAACAGGTGATTCCGAATACCCTCCTCGCTCAGGCGGGGCCTCCCTGGAGGGGTGGGAGGGGCACGAAACCATGTAAATAGTATGGTATTCCGATACCCTCCTCGCTCAGGCGGGGCCTCCCTGGAGGGGTGGGAGGGGCACGAAACCTGTAAATAACAGGTGATCCGAATACCCTCCTCGCTCAGGCGGGGCCTCCCTGGAGGGGTGGGAGGGGCACGAAACCTGAGAAATAACAGGTGATGCGAATACCCTCCTCGCTCAGGCGGGGCCTCCCTGGAGGGGTGGGAGGGGCACGAAACCTGATAAATAACAGGTGATGCGAATACCCTCCTCGCTCAGGCGGGGCCTCCCTGGAGGGGTGGGAGGGGCACGAAACCTGATAAATAACAGGTGATGCGAATACCCTCCTCGCTCAGGCGGGGCCTCCCTGGAGGGGTGGGAGGGGCACGAAACCTGAGAAATAACAGGTGATGCGAATACCCTCCTCGCTCAGGCGGGGCCTCCCTGGAGGGGTGGGAGGGGCACGAAACCTGATAAATACAGGTGATCGAATACCCTCCTCGCTCAGGCGGGCCTCCCTGGAGGGGTGGGAGGGGCACGAAACCTGATAAATAACAGGTGATGCGAATACCCTCCTCGCTCAGGCGGGGCCTCCCTGGAGGGGTGGGAGGGGCAGGAAACCTGAGAAATAACAACGTGTTGCATGGTATTGGTATTGGCTTGGTATGGTTTGGCTTGGTATGATGTGGTATGTTATTGGTATGGTATTGGCTTGGTATGGTATGGCTTGGTATGATTTGGTATGGTATTGGTATGGTATTGGTTGCTGTTCTGTTCTGTTCGTGGTTTGGTATGGTATTGGTATGGTATGGTATTGGTATGGTATGGCTTGGTATGGCTTGGGATGTTATTGGTTTGGTATGGTATGGTATGGTATGGTATTGGTATGGTATGGCTTGGTATGGTATGGTTTAGGAGAAGGACGCGGGAGGAGGAGGAGAAGGAGAGGGTGTTCTGGGAAAACAAGAACCCCACTCAGGATGTGGGGAACAATGCCACAATGCCAAGCAATGTTAAGCAATGACAAGCAATGCCAAGCACTGCGTCCATGCAATAGGAAGCTTTTTCCTTCTTGGGGTCGCGCCGGGTTCATTTGTTGTCCTTCCCCTACCGCTACTAAACATGAAGCTTTGTAGCTTCGCGCGCATTCCTGGCAGAAGGATGGTGCCGGGCAGAACACGGAACGGCGTTCCCGAATTGGTCCGTTTTGAAGAATAAGACGCTGTTCACATGCAGCCGCCTTTGGCGGCTCATCGATTGTTAGAGAAATTGAAGGTGTGCCCGAAGGCGAATGGCGTGTGCTGCAGAAAGGAACTGAAGCTGCGGGCCGTAAGGCGGGGCCTGCTCCCTAACATTATCGGAAAGCCACGCATTTATGTAACATCTATCCGCAAACTGGCCGGCGCCGAGACCAGAAACGCAATGGAATGGAAGCCAGTGGTGGGCGCCAGGAAGGGAGGCGAGCGGCACGCGTCCAGCCAACCGGCACCCAGACACCGACCAGGCGACGAGACGTGGCAGGAACGCTAGGCAAGCCCTACGGAGCACGCTCATTCGGCCTCCAGCTGTTCCGTACATGACGAATCTGAACCGAGGGAGGAGGGCCCGATGCGATCGCGTCCAGTACTTCATTGCACACGCCGTCGGTGTCCGGATTGTATTCCCGATCGATGTGCCGGATGTGAGAGGATGGCGCAGATGGCGGGAGGGGGTAAGGGAGAGGAGGAGGAGGAGGAGGAGGAGGAGGAGGAGGAGGAGGAGGAGGAGGAGGAGGAGGGGACAGCCACTCATTTGATACGCCTTCGCCCCCTCCCCCGGCGAGCGGGGGTCGGCGGATCCCATTTCTCTTTTTCTCCTTCTCGCTCTTCTCCTCCCGGAGCTCATGCCCCCCTCCTCCTCCCCCAGCTCGTTCCGTTCCTCTATCCTCCAGTTTCTCCGTCTCGAGCTGCTCCTCCTAGCACCTCATCCCCGTCGCCCGCTTCATCGGTCTTGATGGTCCTCCTGGTCCTCATCATTATCTTCGCTCCTCCTTCTCCTTGTCCTCCTCTTCTTTCTCCTCCTTCTCCCCCTCCCTGTTCTTTGATTCTCCCTCCTCCTACCTCCTCACCATCTCCATCCATTTCTTGTTCCTCCTCATTCCTCCTCCTCCTTTTCCTCCTCCTCCTCCTCTTCCTTCTCTTCTTCCTTCTTCCTCGTTCATGCTTACAGTGGAGGCCCATTCCACGAAACACACTGCTTGCCTCCAGGGTGCCCTGGTTTCGATTGTTTTGCCATGGAAATCGTGACTTGCCCACACCAGAAGTCAATGGATGTCCTGGGGTCGCAGGGTTGGGTTTCTTGCGCAAGGTTTCTTGTGGTCTGGCCCCTACTGTATTCATTCCTCCGTGCTCATGTGTGGTCCTCCTCGTCGTCCTCCATTCCTCCTCGTCATCATCATCATCACCACCATCATCATCATCAGCATCATCATCATCGTCATCATCACCATCATCATCGTCATCATCGTCATCATCGTCATCATCGTCATCACCAGCATCAGCATCAGCATCAGCATCAGCATCATCAGCATCAGCACCAGCATCCGCATCATCACTGTCATCATTCCTCCTCCTCTTCCTCGCCCCATCCTCCTCTTGGATCTCCTCCTCATCGCCATTGTTTTCATTTCCCATTTTCCTCAGGAAGACCTCGGCAGTTCATCGCAACGGGTTCCATTCCTCCTAACGCGGTGGTTTCGTTACAGAGTCGGGTCCCACGCATGCACACATATCATTGCCGAGCAGACCTGTCGCCCCAGCCAGGGAGGGATGGATGACGGGGGTTCGTGGTCGTGGGAGCCGGCGGGGGAGTGAACGGGGGACGGAAGGTCAGGTGAGGCACCTCATGCCCCCTGAGCCCGCCTCATGGAGTTTGTCGTGTGCAGGCCAGGGCGTGGGCCGTGCCAGTGCTGCCTTGTGTGCAGATCGCACCGAAGGAAGTCGCTGCTTGTCTCGAGCTTTTCGGATGCAGCCGCCTCAGACTTGTGATTCTCCTTGTCCTGCCAGTGCTGCGGCAGCAGGCTCTCCCGAGTCCACCCGCCAGCTGACTCTTGACAGGGTTCCATGAGCGCATGAATCCATCCCCCTGCTGGTACAGCTCCTTCTTCGCTGTTTCTCTTGTTTCTTCTCCTCCTCCTCCTCCTCCTCCTCCTCCTCCTCCTCCTCCTCCTCCTCCTCCTCCTCCTCCTCTCCTCCTCCTCCCCCTCCCCCTCCCCCTCCTCCTCCTCCTCCTCCTCCTCCTCCTCCTCCTCCTCCTCCTCCTCCTCCTCCTCCCCTGCCTTCTCCTACTCATCCCCCTGCCAACATGCTGCTCCTCGATGTTTTTTCTCCTCCTCCTCCGCCTTCTCCTCACCCCCCTGCTGCCAGTATGCTCCTCCTCCTCGTCCTCTTCCTCTTCCTCCTCCTCCTCCTCCTCCTCCTCCTCCTCCTCGTCTTCCGCCTCCTCCCAGGACCGACGTCGGACCAAGCGCACTTTAGCGAGGCACGCCCCCCCCCCCCCCCCCTCACCCAAGACGCTCTGCGCCCCCCCCCCCCCCGGGACGGCCGTTGCCCCCCCCCCCCCCCCCCACAGGCAACAGCCATCCCCCGGGGGCCCCGGGGGGGGGGGGGAGGGACCTGCCCGCGCCAGCTGAGCTGGGGCCTACGGTGGGGGCGTTCGCTCAGGAGTGCGCGCCAAGGATCGACCGCGCGCCAGGGGGGGGAACGGGCGAGGAGGAGGGGGGGCCTTCTCAGAAGCAGGTCTGGACCTGATCGGTGTTTTGGCCATCTCGTGGGCCGTTTTGTTCTTGGTTTTGTTCTGCATTGAAGGCGGAGCGAAGGCACAACGACGAAGCACGAGCGACAAGACGAAAACGACAGCCACCGTTCAGGCTCAGCCCTGCCCAGAGGGCAGCGGGGCCTCTCAGTGAGGCCTCCGCCCTTCCCAGAAGTTGGCTGTGTCTTCGGGGGCGCGTGCCCAGGAGGCCTCAGACCCTGGAGGGTTCGTCCTCCGAGCGACGCCCCCTCCGAGCGCGCCCATTCCCGGGCCGCCTGCGCCCGGGAATGGGCGCGTGCGCGGCCCTTCGTGAGGGGCCCCGCGTGGGCGCCCTCTTTCCTCAATGCAGCGTGCGGCGCCGGCGGCCCGCCGTGAGCTGCCGCGTAGGGTCGCTGCGCCACCTGGCGCAAGACCCGTTTCTTTCCGCCGCCAATCTGATGTGGGCGGCGGTGGTTCCACGGCCACGCCTCCCTCGGCGTTCCACCAGCCTCCAGGCCCTGGATTCCTCATCGAGGGGCTCCTCGTGCTCGGCGGCGAGCCCGGCGGGGGGGGAAGTGAGGCGGGGCGCGTCGTCTCAGGAGGCTCGGAAGCCCCCCCGGCCTTCCGAGAAGTTTCCTACGCCTTCGCTGAAGACGCAGAACACCTCTCAGAAGACCGGAGGCCTGAAAGGCCCCGCCGCCTTCCGAGAGAAGGCCTTCTCCTGCTCACTCCCCCCCCTCGGTTGCCGCCGATGTCCAATGCCCTCGGCGTATACCTTGCGCTGCCCTTCCAGTGCCCTCGCGTGGCGAGGCCAGAGTTTTGGCCACGTTCGCTGGGCAGTCGTGCGACGGACTGTTTACAGTCAACCCGCACAGGAAAAATTCGCGCGACAGGCATGCGAGGGCCCTGGGCGCCCATTCCGAAGCCTTCCGAGCGGGGCGCGGCCCACGAAAGTGGCCAAGGATGGGCCGAGGAGGCGAGGATGCAGGGGTACCCTTGGGAAGGTTGCCCATCCTTGCTATGCCGGTTGACTGTGCGCCGCAGCGCGGCGGAGGCGAGCCGCACGCGCGCTCTGGTGGGCCAGGCCATGGCAGGCACTGCTCGTCCAGCGGCAGGAGCGGGGACCGAGGCGGAGCACGGCCGCGGAGGGCGGGGGGCGGAGGGAGGGCACCCACAGCGCGAGGAACCGTCCAGGGCAGCGAGAATGGGCCTTGCATTAAGTCGGGCGTGTCCCTCTACAGGGGGAATGAACAGGGGACGTTTTTTGGTTTTCTTGAAAAGAAAATACTATGTTTGGCAATGTGTGGTTTATTGTTATGACTATTTTTAATGTTTCGTCCAAAATCGGGCTGTAGGGGGACACGCCCGACCGAAGTCTAGGACAACGAGAATTGGCCTTGCGACGAAGATGAGTCGTGTACAATATCGCTGTCCGCTTCCCCCCCTCGAGGGAGGCAAAACCATCCGGACCCGACAATTGGCGTTTACCGAACGGCCCTGGGCGTTGACTGAGCAGCCCTGCCCGGTTCGATTCCTTCTGTGGGCGCGTCTACTGGACGGCTTCGCGTGTCGGGGCGATGATTCCGAGGGTGTATCTTCTGCTCTCTACCCCCTCCTTCTCCTCCTCCTCCTCCTCCTCCTCCAGCTGGACCAGCCTCCCAGGGGAGGGAGTTTTGGTCGGGGGCGTCCAGGGGCGGTGGCCGCGGCCTTCTCAGAGCGTCCTGGAACGCTCTGGGAGGTCACCACGCGGTCCGTCACCACATAGTTTTGGGGCCCCGAATTAGGCCCTAATTCGGGGCCCCAACGTATTAGGGTTCCCTTGCTGGCATAGCTCCTCCTCGCGCTCCCCCCCTCAGGGGCAACGGTAGGGGGGGATAGGCATAGGGTGGGGGCGCATCGAACTCCAGTGGCCCGTTGATCGCCGATAGAGGTCCGAAAGCGCCACCCCGCCCAGGAACGAGCGGAGCTTCTATCGAGGACCCATCGCCGATCTATCAGCGATGTGTCGCCGATTCCAGGTCGATGTTTCCCTCCCTACCATTGATTTTTTTGGTTACAGTACAGCTTTAATTGGTTTCAGAATTATTTCTGTAGTGCGCACTGTATGCAATTACATTAATAATTGTGTCGGGAATTAATAATGTAGGCTCGAAATATTGCCAAGAGCATTTTGGTTATGCATTTCTATTGAGTTGGGAAGTTAGAAAGGAATTCGATAAGGAATTTCCTGAGTTAGAAAGGAATTTGAATACCAGAGATAGTTCTGAACCTTGCTCCTCTTCCCCCTTTTCAGAGGCCGTGCTGCGCGCAGCCTGGCGCACGGCCGCCTCGGCGCGGGACGCCGGCGCGCGCGAGCTTCGAGGGGCCTGCGCCGCGCCACCGCCGCCCTGCGCGGGCATACCGCACAACGCTGTGGCCCCTCCTCCGCCTGCCCCTCTTCCTCCTCCTCCTCCTCCTCCTCCTCCTCCTCCTCCACCGTTCCCTTCTCTTCTTCACAGTTCCTCCCTGTCGCACCCCGAGACGCGTTGGTAGGGCGGGCAGGGCGTTTCGCCGGAGACTTCCTCACCATTTATACCCATCTATGATCCTGAAGTCGAGAATTTGCAACTGCTTCACGGATGGAGGGCGGGTGGTTTTCCAAATGTGGTTCTCGCCTCAGCGCCGCGCACATTCGTTTCAAAAATTCGCAAGAACCTCATGGTTGGAGGGCGGGCAGTTTTCAAATTGTGGTTCTCGTCTCAGCGCCGCGAGCATTCGTCTTAGAATCTTGCAGCAGTTTCGCGGATGGAGGTTGGGTCGTTTTCCACATGTGGTTATCGCCTCAGCGCCGCGCACATTTGTTTTGAATGGTTGCCATAGCTTCACAGTTGGAGGGTGGTTCATTTTCAACATATGTCTCTCGTCTCAGCGCCGCGTACATTCCAAAGTTTACACTCGTTTCAAGGATTCTTCTGCTTGAAGTCCCAACAGTCGTGTTTTGGCACGATGTCGGACTGTCAGGACGCAACAGTCGCGTTGGTTCGCGATGTTGAAGGCACAGGAATGGTGGTCTGGCGCGGTTCAGGGTCGTCAGGACGCAGCAGTAACGGTGATTCGCAGCGCTGAAGTCCTAGGAACAATGTTTTGGCACGGTTCAGCGTTTTCAGGCGATTGTCTTCCAACGGGGCACTCCCCTCAGTCCTTCTAGGGGCCTATGGAGAGGGAACTTGGAGGGAGGGTTTATTGCAACATCGTTGGTGGGTCTTGGGTTTGCACTGCTCCTCCTCCTCCTCCTTTTCTTTGCATTCTCACCTTATGTGTTGTTGGATCTTAGTGCTGGCCACTTGAGTCCGCCAGGGGCTTAATCGCAACACCGTTTGCCGCTTTCACTTGCCTGGGCGCTCCTTTTCCTCCGCTCCTCATCCCCCTCTTGATCCTGTTCACGCGCAGGAGGGATTCCTGTGCACCTGTGGCGTTGGGGCCGATACTTACGAGACGAGTGAACTTTCAGGTGAGTTTTCGCCGCAGGAACACGCAAGTGCAGGTTCGAAGATCGAGGTTCGAGGATCGAGGTTTCTTGGGCGTGCGGGGAAGTTGTCGGGGGTCTTCGATCGAGATTCGAGGATGGAGGTCTCCCAAACATATGGCTTCGTACAGTCGAGCATCTGATTCAGAAACCTCCCCCCCTCGACAAAAGCTGGGCCGGCGGTCCTCAGCCATCTCGCTGGAAGGCTGGCCGAGTGTCTTGAGCATCTTCGCCTCTCCAGGGCTAATCACAGATGCTGGACCAGGGCTGGGTCAAGAAGTTTCCGGGAGGCTGGCCCTGCCTGCTTCTACCATACTTTTCTTGACCACATTTTCGGCCGTACTTCCCGTGGGAATCCAGGAGGAGGAGGAGGAGGAAGAAGAGGAGGAGGAAGAGGAGGAGGAGGAGAAGGAGGAGGAGGAGGATGAGGGGGAGGAGGAGGAGGGGGAGGAGGAATCCAGTGGGTGCCCCGAGGGAAGAAGTTTCTGGAAGGCTGGCCCAGCTTGCTTCTACCACACTCTTCTTGATCGCGTCTTCGGCCGCACTTGCGTCTCTATTGCATCCAGTAGGTGCCCCGAGGGTTCGCCACGCTCTGGCCTGTTGTCACCCGTTTTGCTGCCCGTTGCCGTTTGTGGGGGTGTCCCGAGGATGCAGACTTGTTGCTCTTTGGAAAACGATCGCAGAGACGCTTTGTGCACCACATACTCCAGGTCTCTCAATAAGCATAGGGGGGTGGATCGCTTGGGGGGGTGGGAAGCCGCCGTCCTTCGGGGGGCGTGGGGAGGTTTGGGAGCGAGAGGGGGTGGGTTTGGGGCGCATGGGAGGGCGGGCAAGAGGCGTCGGACAGGTTGGCACGGGGGGGTGTGCTTATTGAAGGATCTTGAGTAATTGAATACACCTACCGTGCCACAGCTTGCTTTTTGGGGGTCCACGCTGGCGACCGCTCGTTGTGCGTTTTGGCCGGTTCCTGAGGGTCGTTGATCGAGAGTCCAGGGCCTTGGGCTTTTCTTTGTTTGGGGGGGGGGGGGGGCTGCGGCTTGGTCGTCGCCTCGGTTGGCTCCGCTCCGAGAGGGTCTGGCCGCTGAGCGCACCCCCGGGGAGGGGCGGGGGCAGATTCTTCGCGGGGAGGACTGGGCCTCCAAGGTCCCGAAGCAGCACGGGCGCGGTTACTTCACAGGTTGTCGGCCTGCCCGAGCAAGACCAGCAAGCCCGAGCGCAGGAGGAGCTGCAGTGGGATCGCGCATCAAACAGCCGTGTGCTTTTCGTCAGGGTATCCTCTGTTTCTTCGCTGCCCGCGCTGCGCGGTGACTTCCCGCAGGCGTTGGAGGAGCTGCTGCGTTCAGGGTGCTCCAGGTTTCCCGACAGGTGCACCTCGTGCACGGGTTCTCATGGTTGGGTTTCTTACGAGGGTTTCTTGCGGCCGCGCCCGCACTGTAGGGGTACGGTAGTTTCGCGTCGGGTCGACTGGCGGCGACACCGCCGCCGGGGTTCAGCGTCGAATGCCGCTGGCGACCCAGAATCAGTAGATGTTGAACTATCTCGCGTTTCGGATTTGGCCGACCGTTCAAGCTGGAGCGATCTCCGCGGCGTCGGGAACTAACGCCGAAGTCGGCATTCGGGTCGGGCGAAAGGGGGGGATTGGGAAAGGGGGGGTTACGAAATTTGCTGCATGCAGCTGGTTTCGGCCTCACCGAGGGGCCCATTCCTCGATACATAGCCGCCTCCGGCGCCGGGAGGCGCCGGGAAAATCAGCTACGTGAGCTGATTCTCAACCCCCCCCCTTGCTATCCCCCCCTTTCGCCCGACCCGAGGCACGACACGAACCTGCCGCAGGCAGGCGGGATGGTCACCGCTGCCATTGCGACTCCGGCGCAGCATGTTCGGCTCCAGTCCGGAGGGCCGGGAACGGCCAGATTTCGGGAGGGAAAAAACACACAGACACAATCAAGCGTCGATCCCCAAGAAGATATGGGAAAATATGGGAATGGGGCGGGAAGACCAAAACCCAGAGAATATAGAGAAAAATATATATTTTTATTTGTGTGTATTCATTTGTGTGTCCTTGGGCCCCCTGAAGTTCCCCCCTCCCAGGGATGGGGGGGGGGGGAGCCTGGCGCGGGCGTGTGTCCGCGAAGCCCAGGAGGAGAGGGGGCCGCCCTCTCGGGCCTCGGGCACCGTCAGGGAAAAGAGCAGGCGCGGGGCGAAGAGCTGGCCCCGGGGAGACGGTCTGTGGGAAAAACAGCACCCAGACTGTGGGGAAACACACACACACACACTGTGAGAAAATTACTCACTGCATGGAGCTCCCCATATGTGCATCTCATGTTTCATGTCATGCCGTGGTGAGCGTCTGTTCATGAGCGGTCGACTACAATAGCGCGTCCACGTGGGCGACAGGGCCGACGAAGACGAGTGACCCCTAATGCGAGTGATTGCGTATGAGTCAGAGTGAGCTTTGAGTATGGTTGAATGCGAGTCTCTTCCTCTTCATCCCCCCTCCTCAGCTGCCAGGCCTTCCCCTTTTCAGCCCGCGGTAGCTTTGGAGCTTCCCACATGTGCATATGTTGTAGGATAGTTGGCAGTGGGATATGTAAGACGAGCGTTTAGCCACACAAGGCCATAAGTGCATGTCATGTTGGAGGATAGTGCCACGAGAAACAAGCAAACCGCCTGAGACATCCCCACAAAATGGCCGCGAACGAGCCCGTGCAACCACCCCTGGCGGCTCCCCTTAGGGGTGCTGAAACCAGCGCCCCGCCTGAGACATCCTCACAATCTGCTCTCCATGTTGAGACATCCCCACAAAATGGCCGCGAACGAGCCCGTGCAACCACCCCTGGCGGCTCCCCTTAGGGGTGCTGAAACCAGCGCCCCGCCTGAGACATCCTCACAATCTGCTCTCCAAGCGAAGGATGTTGGGCCCAGAAACAAGCAAACCGCCTGAGACATCCCCACAAAATGGCCGCGAACGAGCCCGTGCAACCACCCCTGGCGGCTCCCCTTAGGGGTGCTGAAACCAGCGCCCCGCCTGAGACATCCTCACAATCTGCTCTCCAAGCGAAGGATGTTGGGCCCAGAAACAAGCAAACCGCCTGAGACATCCCCACAAAATGGCCGCGAACGAGCCCGTGCAACCACCCCTGGCGGCTCCCCTTAGGGGTGCTGAAACCAGCGCCCCGCCTGAGACATCCTCACAATCTGCTCTCCAAGCGAAGGATGTTGGGCCCAGAAACAAGCAAACCGCCTGAGACATCCCCACAAAATGGCCGCGAACGAGCCCGTGCAACCACCCCTGGCGGCTCCCCTTAGGGGTGCTGAAACCAGCGCCCCGCCTGAGACATCCTCACAATCTGCTCTCCAAGCGAAGGATGTTGAGCCCAGAAACAAGCAAACCGCCTGAGACATCCCCACAAAATGGCCGCGAACGAGCCCGTGCAACCACCCCTGGCGGCTCCCCTTAGGGGTGCTGAAACCAGCGCCCCGCCTGAGACATCCTCACAATCTGCTCTCCAAGCGAAGGATGTTGGCCCAGAAACAAGCAAACCGCCTGAGACATCCCCACAAAATGGCCGCGAACGAGCCCGTGCAACCACCCCTGGCGGCTCCCCTTAGGGGTGCTGAAACCAGCGCCCCGCCTGAGACATCCTCACAATCTGCTCTCCAAGCGAAGGATGTTGGGCCCAGAAACAAGCAAACCGCCTGAGACATCCCCGCAAAATGGCCGCGAACGAGCCCGTGCAACCACCCCTGGCGGCTCCCCTTAGGGGTGCTGAAACCAGCGCCCCGCCTGAGACATCCTCACAATCTGCTCTCCAAGCGAAGGATGTTGGGCCCAGAAACAGCAAACCGCCTGAGACATCCCCACAAAATGGCCGCGAACGAGCCCGTGCAACCACCCCTGGCGGCTCCCCTTAGGGGTGCTGAAACCAGCGCCCGCTGAGACATCCTCACAATCTGCTCTCCAAGCGAAGGATGTTGGGCCCAGAAACAAGCAAACCGCCTGAGACATCCCCACAAAATGGCCGCGAACGAGCCCGTGCAACCACCCCTGGCGGCTCCCCTTAGGGGTGCTGAAACCAGCGCCCCGCCTGAGACATCCTCACAATCTGCTCTCCAAGCGAAGGATGTTGGGCCCAGAAACAAGCAAACCGCCTGAGACATCCCCACAAAATGCCCGCGAACGAGCCCGTGCAACCACCCCTGGCGGCTCCCCTCAGGGGTGCTGAAACCAGCACCCCGCCTGAGTAAGTCTCAGACTATTAGTAAGTCTGAGTATGACTACGCCTGGGTATGAGTAAGTCTGAATATGAGTAAGTCTGAGTATGGATATGTCTGAGTGTGAGTAAGTCTGAGTATGAGTACGTCTGGGTACGAGAATGTCTGAGTATGAGTAAGTCTGAGTATGAGTAAGTCTGAGTATGAGTAGGTCTGAGTATGAATCTGCCTGAGTATGAGTATGTCTGAGTATGAGTAAGTCTGAGTATGAGTATGTCTGAGTAAGAGTAGGTCTGAGTATGAAAAGATCTGAGTATGAGGGTATCTGAGTATGAGTAAGTCTGTGTATGAGCAAGTCTGGGTATGAGCAAGTCTGAGTATGAGTAACTCCGACAGGAGGGGAGGAGGAAAGAGGAGGAGGGAGAGTGAGTAGGAGGCGTCCAAGTAATAACAAGAACCCCATCTTAGGATATGGGGAAAACACACTGTGGGAAAAGAACACACACACACACTGTGGGGGGAAAACGCACACACACATACTGTGGGAAAAGCACACACGCACAGTGTGTGCGTGTGTGTTTTCCCACAGCGTGTCTGTTTTCCCACAGTGTGTTTGTTTCCCACAGACCCGGGCGCTTCCACACGGGGCCCCAGGGGCAGGGACTTCTGCGACGGGGATGCCGCCTTCTCGAGTCCGCTCGGCTTCGCCCGCAGGGGCGTCGCATGGACGCTCTCTTCTCGCACTCCGAGGCCTCGAGTGCAACGCCGCGGTCTCAGAAGTCCCCTTCGCCCGCGCCACTTTTGGGAAACGCACCAGG